TATATTAAATATAATTTTGCATTAATAAATAATAATTTAATAATTTCTTATTACAAAAATATGGAATTAATAATATTATTAATTGAATTGGAAAAAATATTTTTGTTACATGTATATTTATTTTATAAGCAGTATTAATGAATAAAAGTAATTAATATAACATAAGTAATATAAATAATTAACACTTGCGGTCAATATTATAATCAACTTAATTTAAAATTTGTTGCGTAATTTTAAAGTAATTTTAATAATTTTATAAATTAAAGATTATTTTAGTTATATTTTTTGAACTTTTACAGAAGAATAAAAGAAGAGAGATAATGACTAATTTAAAAAATAAACTTGTAATATTTTTATTACGATACAAGTTTCATATAATTATAATTTAGACTGATTATATTTTGTTTTGTTTTAATAAAATGTTTTGTTTTAATAAACAAATGTTTTGATAGATAAATTAAATAAATATATCCATCACAGAAGAATGTGTGATTTCGATTACAGATTTCTCGACAAACCCGGAGAGTGAGCAGTTATTATCCGTTGAGGCATATAACAATTCATCAGATACATGTGTGAGAGTTCAACCAGATGAGCGGTTGTCCATGAACGAGTTATGTATTCAAGATGTTTCGTCATCAAGACCATCGCTTCAGGACAAATCCGCGGCATTAAATCTTAACAGACATATAGGCGAAAGTTCGAGCGGTTCGACAACCGTGGTAACATCATCCTTGATTACCGCAAGTGGAAATGAAAGTAATGATGATCCGCCGCCTTATGCCGCAATCACGCCACCAAATCATATCGGTTGGCCGTACGGACTTTTTTCATTCAACGATTCGTATTTTACGGACGGAACGACTCATAGGATGGAAATACCGTTAATGCCTTTCCAAACTCATCTGACACCGGTCACGGGTTTCCATCCCGAAGGAATTAATAATCGATACGAATCGTATCCGATGTCCTTAACGACGCCTTACCAATTTCTCAAGTTTGGTTGCCATAGGAATTCTTTATGGAGGGAAACGATGGATGCCACAGACGACGAAATAACGGAGAAAATCTACGATAAAAAAACACGAAGTGAGCATCGGTGAAATTTATCATCTTTGTTCCGGACATTTTCTTAATTTTAAAATTAAGAATTTAAAATTACAGGAATATTTTAAAATTAAATATTTTAAAACAGGATTTCCTTGAGAAACATTATTAATAAACATTATTTATAAAAATTATTATTGCGATTTATAAAAATTATTATTGAGCAACTGATTAATCGTTAATTAATTATTTCATCTAAATAATTACGATACGAGTAAATTGGCATACGAGTATCAGTGACACTCATTCGAGTAATCAT